TATATTGTGTTGACTGGGCATTTTTTTAATAGCACCCATTTTTGAGTTTTTAAAAATTTTTTATTGCAGTTTCTCGATTTTCCGATTTTTGTTAGATTTCTCAATTTTTCGATTTTATAGTTACTCAGATTTTTAATTTTTTCGATTTAGAATTATTCAATTTTACAGTTTTTCGATTTGACAATTTTTCAAATTTTCATGCCTCCAGTTTTTCTGTCTGCAATTTTTCTTTCCTTCGATTTTTCAATTTGTAGAAATTTTAATTTTCCTTTATTTAAATTAAACGATAATTTAAATTTGCATGTCTTCAATTTTTGAATTGCAGTTTTTCTAGTTTTCAATTTTTGGTCTTTTCAAATTTTAGCTTTTAAATACATAATCAAGTTCTCGTTTTTGCGTTTTTAAATTTTGGACAAAAAGAACGAGTTTATTCAAACTGAAATTCTGAAAAATTGTAAAGCAGGATTTTTAAATTTTTTAACAACTGAAAAAATGAAAAAATAAAATATCTAAAAATTGAAAAACCTGAAGAACTAATAACAGAAAGAATTAATCTAAAAGGTGAAGTAACGAAATATTGAAAAACCCAAAATCTAAAAATTTTAAAAACTGGAAACTTAAAAAATTGCAAACCAAAAAATTGCGGAAACGAAAAATTCAAATTCAAAAAGTATATTTTGCCTGTTTTCTTTAATATACATGGCCATCTTTTCACAACATGAAACTTAAAACATGGTGAAAATGGTACATTTTTGCCAGAAAATATGGATTTTGAAATTATGGGGCGGAGCCTAATTGCAAAGTCGATATTTCCTTATACAAATTTACCATTTTAAACATGTTTTATGTTGCGAAAAGAAGTCTGCATATGTATATTAAAACAAAAGGGCAAAATGTAAGCCCGACCACCCGCCCTGTCTCAATTCTGATGATTTTTTTATTCGCCGTTAACCAATGAGGTGGAGCTTAATTGCAAGACATTTATTTCTTTACAAAATATAAAAAACATATTTTTGGTTATCGTGTTGTGGAAAGAATAGTATGGATAAGTATTAAGAAAAAAAAAAAAGGAAAATATAGGCCCCGCCCACCCACCCCATCTCCATTGTGATGATTTTTGTTATTCTTAGACTCGATTTATAGAACGCGAAATTAAAGTTAATTGAACTGTTGAATTTTTCAGTTTTACGATTTTGTCGCTTTTAGTTTTTGTATTTAATTTTTTTAACTTCATGGTTTTTAATTGAGGGTATGTAACATCCGTGTCATTCGAATGTTGTTGCTTTCGCCACATTTATTTACATCGGGTTGACTGAGGATTTTTTAATATTAGCACCCATTTTCGAATTTTTAAAAATTATGTATACAGTTTTTTGGTTTTACGATTTCTCAGTTTTTCAATTTTTAATTTGGAATTTTTTAAATGTACAATGTTCCGATTTGCAAGTTTTTCAAAATTTTGATTTATCAACATTTGATTTTTATCAATTTTTTAATTTACAATTTTTCTGTTTTATCAATTTTTAGATTGTTTATTCAGTTTTTGAATTTTGCAGTAGCTCGATTTTAAATAACACGATTTCCAAATTTTCCATTTGTGAATTTTTGTTTCTTCAATTTTTCGACTTTACAGTTTTCCGATTTTAGGTTTTCTTTAATTTTTCAATTGTTACAATTTTTGGCATTTTTATTTCTAGTTTTTGTAATTTTGTAGTCTCCCCGATTTTTGATTTGCAATTTTTCTTTATTTCAAATTTTAATTTAGTTTATAAATTTTTAAAGTTCTCAGTTGTTTAATTTTCCCAGATTCTAATTTTGAATTTAATCCAAAAAGAACAAATTTATTAAAACTGAAATTTTCACGATTTTGCAGTTTTCATATTTAAATTTTTCTTAACTAATTAATTTTTAAATGCTTTCACCGCGTTTATCTATATTGTGTTGACTGGGCATTTTTTTAATAGCACCCATTTTTGAGTTTTTAAAAATTTTTTATTGCAGTTTCTCGATTTTCCGATTTTTGTTAGATTTCTCAATTTTTCGATTTTATAGTTACTCAGATTTTTAATTTTTTCGATTTAGAATTATTCAATTTTACAGTTTTTCGATTTGACAATTTTTCAAATTTTCATGCCTCCAGTTTTTCTGTCTGCAATTTTTCTTTCCTTCGATTTTTCAATTTGTAGAAATTTTAATTTTCCTTTATTTAAATTAAACGATAATTTAAATTTGCATGTCTTCAATTTTTGAATTGCAGTTTTTCTAGTTTTCAATTTTTGGTCTTTTCAAATTTTAGCTTTTAAATACATAATCAAGTTCTCGTTTTTGCGTTTTTAAATTTTGGACAAAAAGAACGAGTTTATTCAAACTGAAATTCTGAAAAATTGTAAAGCAGGATTTTTAAATTTTTTAACAACTGAAAAAATGAAAAAATAAAATATCTAAAAATTGAAAAACCTGAAGAACTAATAACAGAAAGAATTAATCTAAAAGGTGAAGTAACGAAATATTGAAAAACCCAAAATCTAAAAATTTTAAAAACTGGAAACTTAAAAAATTGCAAACCAAAAAATTGCGGAAACGAAAAATTCAAATTCAAAAAGTATATTTTGCCTGTTTTCTTTAATATACATGGCCATCTTTTCACAACATGAAACTTAAAACATGGTGAAAATGGTACATTTTTGCCAGAAAATATGGATTTTGAAATTATGGGGCGGAGCCTAATTGCAAAGTCGATATTTCCTTATACAAATTTTCCATTTTAAACATGTTTTATGTTGCGAAAAGAAGTCTGCATATGTATATTAAAACAAAAGGGCAAAATGTAAGCCCGCCCACCCGCCCTATCTCAATTCTGATGATTTTTTTAATCGCCGTTAACCAATGAGGGGGAGCTTAATTGCAAGACATTTATTTCTTTACAAAATATAAAAAACATATTTTTGGTTATCGTGTTGTGGAAAGAATAGTATGGATAAGTATTAAGAAAAAAAAAAGGAAAATATAGGCCCCGCCCACCCACCCCATCTCCATTGTGATGATTTTTGTTATTCTTAGACTCGATTTATAGAACGCGAAATTAAAGTTAATTGAACTGTTGAATTTTTCAATTTTACGATTTTGTCGCTTTTAGTTTTTGTATTTAATTTTTTTAACTTCATGGTTTTTAATTGAGGGTATGTAACATCCGTGTCATTCGAATGTTGTTGCTTTCGCCACATTTATTTACATCGGGTTGACTGAGGATTTTTTAATATTAGCACCCACTTTCCAATTTTTAAAAATTATGTATAGTTTTTTGGTTTTACGATTTCTCAGTTTTTCAATTTTTAATTTGGAATTTTTTAAATGTACAATGTTTCGATTTGCAAGTTTTTTAAAATTTTGATTTTTATCAATTTTTTAATATCCAAATTTTCCATTTGTGAATTTTTGTTTCTTCAATTTTTCGACTTTAGGTTTTCTAGTTTGCAATCTTTAATTTTTCAATTTTACAATTTTTGATTTGCTTTTTTTCGATATTTCAATTTTGCACTTCTCAATTTTTCAATTTGTAAATATTTTATTTTTTCCTTATTTCAATTAATCGAGATTTTAATTTTTAATTTAGCTTATAAATTTTTCAAGTTCTCAGTTGTTTAATGTTTCATTTTCCCAGATTCTAATTTTGAATTTAATCCAAAAAGAACAAATTTATTAAAACTGAAATTTTCACGATTTTGCAGTTTTCATATTTAAATTTTTCTTAACTAATTAAAGTTTTCACCGCGTTTATCTATATTGTGTTGACAAACATTCTTGAGTTTTTAAAAATTTTTTAGTTTTCCGTATTTGTAATTACTCAGATTTTTAATTTTTTCGATTTAGAATTATTCAATTTTACAGTTTTTCGACTTTATAATTTTTCGTTTTCAAGTTTCCTAGTTTTCAATTTTTCAAGTTTTTAGATTTTCGATCTTGCAAATTTTCGTGCCTCGAATTTTTCCTTCCTTCGATTGTTCAATTTTTGGTCTTTTCAAAATTTTAGCTTTGAAGTTCTCGTTTTTGCGTTTTTAAATTTTGGACAAAAAGAACGAGTTTACTGAAATTCTGTAAAATCGTAAAGCAGGATTTTTAAATTTTTTAACAACTGAAAAAACAAAAAAATGAAATATCTAAAAACTGAGAAACCTGGAAATAACAGAAAGAATCAATCTAAAAGGTGAACTAACGAAATATTGAAAAATAGAAAAATTCAAAAACCCAAAATCTAAAAATTTGAAAAATTTAAAACGCACGAGAACCGAAAAATTCAAAAATAAAAAATTGTGGTCTCTAGAAATTGCAAATCTTAAAGATGAAGTAACGAAAAACTAAAAAATTGAAAAATTAAACTGGAAACTCAAAAAATTGCAAATCAAAATATTGGAGAAAGGAAAAATTAAAAACCGAGGAACGAAAAATTCGAAACATTGAAAAAACCAAAAATTGAAATAATTGAATTACGGATAGCCTACATATTAAAGGACATCATTTTTGCGTACACTACAGAGGGAAGATTCGGGTCCGTCTCTGTGTGGTGTGTTGAAGGACAGTGTTTAATTATGGGAACAGCGAATTTTCGACAATGACATACCCTCTAAAAAATAAAGGGTGGGTGGGTGGGGCTAGTACTTGCCAAGATAAGACTGATTGTGGCAAATCACATATCCTCCGAGAACACAGAGGGCGGGTGGGCGGGGCTAGAATTTGCTAAGATAAAACTGAACACTATTAAGAAAAGTCACTGGGATGAAGAAGACTGTAGAAAAAATGAAACTTGTACTTTTATGATAATTTTTCAGACATTAAAAAACGAAAGGAAATGGCGTAAAGGATGTGTAATAATATCCACAATTTCGATAATAAAAACGTAAAATTTTCATTTCTTTGATACAAAAAACAACACTCTAAGAAATAACGAAACAAACATTATCTATTACTTAATACTGTGCTTTAGTAAAATAGAATTAACATACTGGAGAACATTGTCCCAAAGGTGGTTAATTTCTGCATTGCACTCACCACCCTCAGTCATTTGGAAAATGTAATATTGATACATATTGTCAAGAGCTTCTTTACACATTTGGATGTCCATGGCTTGCCTGTAACAGAAATAAGCAATTAGAACTCTTTATCGTTTTGAAAGTTCAAACACGTACTGTCGTGAACAAGAAAATTCTATTTTAGTGTCTTTCAAGCTCAAAATCACCTCACCACTGTCGCCCCCAACCTGTAAAAAAATGAAATTACTTAAAATTAAGTACTTAAGTAACAGTCAACGTTACTTCTCGTATGATAAGATCCTTATCTGAAAATAATATTACTGCTACTGGGGTAATTTCACTACATTCCCGAACCACTGTCGTTCTTCTAATATTCGATCTGACTTCATTAAAATACAGAAGAAAATTTGAACAAAACGACGTTCTTTTAAAATTGACACTGTCTGAAGTTATTGTCGCTTTTTGATTATAGTTGGTCAAAAAAATATCAGCTTTTTTGTAGCGACCTTTGACGACGTCCCAATTACGATGCCTTAGGAGATTTCCAACACCCGAAAATAGTATAGCTTTGACTAACTCGTCGTTGTCTGAGTAACTGTCAGCTACTGGTAGCGCCTCAAGCAAACCATTGTGAAGATAATCAAAATGAATTTTACGCAGTTCTGCAAAAAAAAATAAACAATGTTATAAAAATTGGTATAGAAAAATTACTAAACTTACTACTTATGGTAACCAGTTTATGATGAACCAAATTCGCGTCAGTACAATATCGTGCGGCAGTTTCTTCATCGAAATCTTCCATTAATTCCAACCAGGCCTCAAACAGCCGCATCACTGCTAAATGGTCGCTATGCCTACTGCCTTGAGTTTTAATTTTCTTTATACTTCCTTTATCCACCAAACTGCTCCTAAACAATTCAGTGTCTGAAGAGAAAAGTGTAACAATGTCCACCACCGGCGTGACGCATTTATACACAACAGAATTGACTAAGATTTTCGCCAGTTTTGGTTCCAACTGAAAATTAGCCAATCTTTTTCCTAAAGACGTGAGATTTTCACAATCATCCAAAAGTTTCAGATCTTTCAATTCTCTGACAGCCCTTCTAGTTGAATTTTTTTCCGGAGGACTGGGTAATTTACTCATGAATTCTAACGCATCCATGTTGTTGCTGTAAACTTTTGAATTCAAAACGATTTTAGTGAGCGACGTTTTTAAAATCTCTGGATCCGTGAAATGCGAAAATGTGTCATATTTGGATTTTGTGTATAGGTGGAAACTTTCGCCTGGTTGGACTCGTCCTGCTCTACCTTTCCGCTGCGCCATACTCGACTGCGATATCCAGTAATTATCGATGCAATTAACACCTACGAAAATCTAGTTATTAGTCGTTCCTAAAAACAACCGAAAATTTACCTTTGTCATGATCAAATCGATTTTCTTTATGAATTCCTGTATCAATAACATATACGACATCGTCAATAGTAACAGAAGTTTCTGCAATATTCGTCGAGAGAATCACTTTCCTGACTCCAGGTGGTGTTCTTGAAAAAATCTTCCGTTGATCGGAATCTTGCAGACGAGAATGAAGACACAAAACACTCATATCGCTAGACGGAGACATTAGTTTCTCAACTTTAATAATATCCTCCCAACCCGGTAAAAAACATAAAATAGCGCCCTCTTTCTTTGTTTTGTGTATATGACGAATTAGTTTCGCCACATCTTCGTGGACAACGTTCGGCAATTCGTTATTATTCACAGCCATTTGGTAACTTTCGCTTAAATTAAGTGTGCTCAGATCGTCTAAGAAGTAAGACTTAACTGGGTATGTGAATCCCGGAATGTGCATAACTGGTGGATGATTTAAATAATTTCTGAATAAATCGACATCCACTGTCGCACTCATTATGATCAATTTCATGGTAGGGTTTGTCGTTAACACGTTTCTTAATAAATTTAGTAATAAGTCGGTGTTAACATCACGTTCGTGAACTTCGTCCAAAATAACGTGCGTAAATCTGGATAAATTTGTATCAGTTTGTAAGTATTTTAGGAGAATTCCTGTTGTGCAATAGAAAATTCTGCCAGTTGTTGGGTTGTAATTTGATTTCAGGCGAATTTGGTAACCCACGATGTGGCCACACTAAAACAACGAATGTTATTCAGTTTTGAATTTTTTACAAAAATTCTGGATGTTGGGTGAAAATTCGACACAATTTTTCATTTTTGCTTTTTTATGATTTTACAATTTTTGATTTTTTATTTTTTTTTAATGATTCAATTTTCCATTTTTCAGTGTTTCGGTTTCATAATTTTTCATTCTTTCAACTTTTTTTTTTCAATTTCCCGACTTCCAAATTTTCCGGTTGTTCGTTTCTTTAATTTTTCGACTTTTCAAATTCTCAATTTTTAATTTTTCGATTTTTCAATTTTCTGTTTCCCCAAAATTTCAAGTTCTTGATTTTTATTTTTCATTTTCATGATTTTTAAATTTTCAATTTCTCGATTTTATATCACAATTTTTCGTTTTTTCAAAGTTTCTTTTGGTTTTACAATTTTTCGTTTATTCAGTTTTTCATATTTTAATCTCCGATTTTTCATTTCCTCGATTTTCCAAATTTAAAATTTTTCAGTTTTGAAAGTTTTCGACTTCAGTTTTCCGATTTTTCGATTTCTTTAATTTTCCGTAGGTACTTCGATTTCACTTTTTTTTTGATTTTCAAGTTTCTCAATTTTTAACCTTTCCACTTTTCAATTTTTTGTTAGGTACTTCATTTTTTTCAGTTCTTGACTTCCAATTTTTAGTTCTTTGAAAGTTTTCGTTTTAGACTTTTTCGTTTTTACATTTTTGATTTTTCGATTTTTTTAATTTTTTGATTCGAAAAGTTGAAAAATCGAAAATTAAAAAAATTGGAAAATTAAAAATTGAAAAACTAAAAAAATCGGAAAAAATAAAAATACGAAGAATTGCAAAATCGAAAAAAATGGAAAATCCAAAATTTCAAATCGAAGATCGAAGAGCTGAAAATCGAGAAACAAGAAAATTGAAAAAAATTTCGTAAGTTGGAAAATTGAAAATCTGAAAAATTAAAGCTTCAAAACTCGAAAAATTACAAATCGAAAATCAGAAAAAACAAAAAAAAATGAAAAACTGATAATTACACGAACACGAAATTAGAAAAATTTTAAATTGAAAAAATGAAAAATTCAAAAATCTGGGGGTCGAAAACTCGAAGACTTGCAGACTGAAAAAATGAAAAAAAATAAAAACCGAAACGAAAAATTGAAAACTCGGGAAATTTTAAATCGAAGAATTGCAATAAGAAAAATGGAAAAAACAAAAGTACAAACCCAAAACATTGAAAAATCGAACAATTGAAAAAATAAAGACAAAAAAACAAAATGAAAAAATGCAAATCGTAAACTTGTAAAATTAAAATTGAATTATTTAATATCATAATTTTTCGTTTTTCCTATTTTTTGATTTCAGAATTTTAGTTTTTTTTAAATTATTCAATTTTTCCGTTTTCACTGTATCGGTTTCATAATTTTTCATTGTTTCAACTTTTTATTTTTTTCATTTTTGCGATTTGCAATTTTTCAATTTTGAATTTTTTCGAGATTACAATTTTTGTTTTTTCAGCTTCTCAATTTTTATTTTTCATTTTCACGATTTTTTAATTTTCACTTCCTCGATTTTCTAATTTTTAAATTTTTCAGTTTTGAAATTTTTGGACCTCTCAGTTTTCCGATTTTTCGATTTCTTTAATTTTCAGTACTTCGATTTCACAATTTTTTTTTTCGATTTTGAAGTTTCTCAGATTTAACCTTTCCACTTTTCAATTTTTTGTTTCTTCATTTTTTCAGTTCTTGACTTCCAATTTTTCAAAAATTAGAAAAGTCGGAAAATTAAAAATCCAAAAACTACAAATTCGAAAAAAAATTAAAAAGCGAAGAATTACAAAATCGAAAAATTGCAAATCGAAGATTGAAGAACTAAAAATCTGAAAAATTTAAACTTCAAAACTCGAAAAATTACAAATCGAAAAGAAGAATTAAAATTGGAAACTCGGGAAATTCAATACATTGCTTAATCTAAAAATTGAAAAATTCACAAGTCGGAAAATTGAAAAACTGAAAAATTTGAATTTGACAACTCGAAAAATTGCAAACTGCAAATCGAAAAATTGAAAGAATATGAAACTGGAAAAATTTAAAATAGAAAAATTCAAAAATATACGGGTTAACAAATCGAAATACTGAAAAACTTCGCATTGAAAAAAGAAAAATTATAAATTCATAACATTGAAAAACCGAAAAATTGAAAAAATAACAAAAAATTGATAAACTAAAGAATAAAAACCGAAAATTTAATGAAATGGAAAATTAAACAATCGAAAAATTGGAAAATTAAAAATTGAAAACTCGGGAAATTTTAAATTGAAGAATTGCGAAATCTAATAGGGTAGTATTTGAAGAAATAAAAAAAGGAAAACTGAAAAAAAAATTACAAATCGGAATATTGAAAATTCGAATAATTGAATAAATAAAGAAAATAAAAAACTATAACGAAAAATTGCACAATCTAAGAATTAAAAAATTCAGAAGTTGGAAAATTGAAGACGTGAAAAATTTTAAATTGAAAATTCGAAAAATTGTAAATCAAATTCTGACGAAACAAAAAAAATGAAAAACTAAAAATTGAAAGAACATTAAACTGGAAAAATTAACAATTGAAAAATCGAAGTTTTGATAATTGAATAATTGAAAAAATAAAGAAAAAAAAAACAAAACGAAAAATTACAAAGCGAAGACGTGAAAAATTAAACTTGAAAAATTGCAAACCGAAAATCTGAAAAAAAATGAAAGATTGCTAAACGAAAAATTTAAAAATGAAAAATTGAAAAAACATGAAACGGGAAAAATTTAAAATTGAAAAAATGCAAAATCAAAAATGGCAGATCGCAAAATTGAAAAATCCAAAAACTGGAAAATTTCACATTACAAAAAGAAAAATTATAAAATCAGAACATTGAAGAGCCGAAATATAAAAAATGAAGAAAATTAAAAATCGAAACGACAAGTTGCAAATCCGAAATTTGAAGAAAAGGGAAATTAATGAGTCGAAAATTTGAAAAATTAAAAACTGAAAAGTAGAGAAATTTTAAATATAAGAATCGCAAAATCTAAAGATTGAAGAAATAAGAAAAATGAAAAATTGAAAAAACAAAAAGGTACAAATCGAAACACTGAAAAATCGAATAATTGGAAAAATAAAGAAGAAAAACAAAACGAAAATTTGCAAATCGAAAACTTGAAAAATTAAAATTGAAAACTGAGAAAACTAACTACAAAAAATTCTTAGATTTTGCAACTCTTGTTGAAAATTCAAAAAGTTGGAAAATTGATAAACTGAAAAATACTTGAAAACTCAAAAAATTGCAAATCGAAAATATCAAGAAACAAAAAAAAACTGGAAAAATGCAAACCGAAAAATTTGAAAGAACATGAAACTGGAAATATCTAAAATTGAAAAAATGATAAATTAAAAAATCGAAAAATTGTAGATCGAAAAATTGAAAAATCTAAAAACTGACATTGAAAAACTTAAAAATTGAAAAAATAACAATAAATTGAAAAATAAAAAAAAATAAAAAACCGAAACGAAAAATTACAAATCGAAAATTTGACGAAAAGAAAAATTAAAGAATTGAAAAATTGAAAACTCGGGAAATTTTAAATCGAAGAATTGTCTAAGAAATTTAAAAAAAAATTACAAATCGAAACATTGAAAAATCGAATAATTGAATAAATAAAGGAAATAAAAAACCAAAACGAAAAATTGCATAATTTAAAAATTGGTCAATTCAGAAGTTGGAAAATTGAAGAACTGAAAAATTTTGAATTGCAAACTCGAAAAATTGTAAATCGAAAATCTGAAGAAACAAAAAAAAATAAAAAACTAAAAAATTGCAAACCGAAAAATTGAAATATAAAACTGGAAAAATCTAACAATGAAAAAATGCAAAATCAAAAATTTAAGAGTTGAAAAATCAAAAATTGCAGATTGAAAAATCCAAAAACTGAAAAATTTCACATTAAAAAAAGAAAAATTATAAAAATAAAGAAAATAAAAAACCGAAACGAAAAATTGACAGAGTTGAAAAACAAAAATGCAGATCGAAAAATTGAAAAATCTAAAAACTGAAAAATTTCACGTAAAAAAAGAAATTATAAAATCACAACATCAAAGAATCGAAAAATCGAAAAAAATAAGAAAATAAAAAATCGAAACGAAAAACTGCAAATCGGAAATTTGAAGAAAAGAGAAATTATAGAATCGAAAAATTGAAAAATTAAAAATTGAAAAGTCGAGAAATTTTCAATCGAAGAATTGCAAAATCTAAAAATTGAAAAAATAAGAAAAATGATAAATTGAAAAAGCAAAGTTACAAATCGAAACATTGAAAATTCGAAAACTTGAAAAAATAAAGAAAAAAACAAAACAAAAAATTGTAAAGCGAACACGTGAAGAATTAAAATTGGAAACTGGGGAAACTCAATATGAAGCATTGCTTAATCTAAAAATTGAAAAATTCATAAGTTGGAAAATTTAAAAACTGAAAAATTTGAAGTTGAAAACTCGAAAAATTGCAAACTGCAAACCGAAAAATTGAAAGAATATGAAACTGGAAAAATTTTAAATTGAAAAATTCAAAAATCTAAGGGTTAAAAAATCGAAAAATCCCAGATCAAAATATGGAAAAATTTCACATCGGAAAAAGAAAAATTATAAATTCATAACATTGAAAAACCGAAAAATTTAAAAAATAACGAAAAATTGAAAAAACAAAGAATAAAAACCGAAACGCAAAATAACAAGTCGAAAATTTAATGAAATGAAAAAACAGAAAATTACAAATCGGAATATTGAAAAATCGAATACTTGAATAAATAAAGAAAGAAAATAAAACACTAAATCGAAAAATTTCATAATCTAAAAATTAAAAAATTCAGAAGTTGCAAAATTGAAGAACTGAAAAATTTTAAAATGAAAACTCAAAAAATTGTAAATCGAAATTCTGAAGAAACAAAAAAAAAAACTAAAAAATTGCAAACCGAAAAATTGAAAGAATATGAAAC